TTGACACGGCCGAAAGACTTGGAGATGGAGATGTGCTCAATCAGGACAACGATGACGGCGGCGGGCAGCTCAGAGACGAAAGACTTGATGATGGGGGTGTTGATCTCGGGGACAGCAGCGTGAGTGAAACCTGATCCAGTTAGTCAATTCGATCAATTGTCAATTGAGATAACTTACCACTGGGAACGTCACCGACAATGCTGATGCGAGGCTTGGAGCGGTGGTTTATGTTCATACCAGCGCTGATACCAACGTACAGCAGGATGACAAAGGCGGTTCGCAGGGTCGAGATGAAGAAGTACAACTTAGCGCGCTGGGGCTGCTTCTTGGCCATGGTGCTGCAGAAAATACGGATGAGGTAGAGCATGACCAGGGCTGACAGACCAATGGCAGCATCGAGCTTGCTTTTACCCAAGTTCTTGAGGGTGTCAATGATCACACGGTAGGTGGCCTGACGGGTGTTAACACCCTTGATGCCCATGAGCTTGGGGACCTGGCCAGCGATAATGTTGACACCGGAACCAGTCATGAAAGCACAGATGGAAGGCAGAGGGATGAACTCAACGAGCCAACCGAGACGAGCGAGACCGAGGAAAGTGACGATTGAGCCGACGATGACCGCGAGGGCGGAGGCGATAACGTGACCGGGAACATCGGGCAAGGACTCGGCAGCCTTGAGGACGATGTTACCTGTGACCTGGGACATGACAGCGACGGGCTGAAGAGTCAGTTTAAAGTTGGTCAATAAGATTGAAGCGCACTTACACCAATGGTGATATCCTTAGATGTGGCGAAGAACCAGTAGATCAAGACACCCATGAAGGATGAGTACAATCCATATTCGACAGGAAGCTGTGCCAGCTGGGCATAGGCCATGGACTGGGGAACAACGACAGCACCAACAGTGATACCTGCGGGGAGTTGATGTCAGCAAACAGAGGCTCCCCGAGAATGTAACAGCACCGGGGAGTTAACTTACCAGCAACCAAATCACCAATGAACCAAATCAGATTATACTTGCCAACCCACGACAAGAACGGGAAGAGGTTGTAAAAGTATTCTCCAATAGCACGGGCGCTGGGTGTGATTTCTCGAAGAAATTCACCAACTGTAGGTTCCTCCTCGATGTAAAGGTCGGCATTGGAAATGGAAGGCGCTTTCTCCTCGGGTTGGGTGTGATCGGCGCCGATGAACTTTTCCAAGGCCGTCTTGGCAGAATGTTTGCCTGGTTGAGACATGTTGGAGCAATAATAGCAAAGTCAAATGGGAAAAAAGGACAACGCTCAAAAAGGGAGATGAAATAAGATAAGATTCTTGAGTATGCAAGAACGGGGAGATCAAAAGGTTGATCAGCAACGGCACAACGTGGGTATTTGAGTCGTCAAGATGTGCCGTGGGTCCCTGAGTCGGATTGTCGCTCGGTCGGTCGGGGGTGTGATGCAGCGCTAGCAAGACTTTCTCCTAGTTAGGACAAGTAGTCGAGGTAGCTATGACGACTGAAGGTCTTGGGCCTTCAGGGTCGAGGGATGAAAGGGTGAACAGATCGAGTCGATCTGTAGGATATATATGGGGTTGAGACCCGTTGAGGGAATTGAGAAGTGGGAGCGAGGTTGAGAGAGAGATAATCGAGAAGAAAGAGGCGAGGAAGGGCCACATATAATAAATTTAGACTGGCTGACCACCAGCGGCGATCCGAGTCCAAGGGCGTGTGTATGAAGTCAATTGCTAATCTGTCGCTATCGTTCCGTTGACCTGGTCTGGCCCACGCGGTAGTGCCATTTCCTCTCAATTCAGCCCTTTTTCAGGCTTCATGCAATCGTGACCACGGCCCAAGTCCAAGTGCCACGACGTTTCTTTTTTTCGAGCGGGGAGATGAGAGTCTCACTGCGTGATTGAACAGGGATCGACGAACGCCAAAAACTCTGGGCGCTACTGTTAATGCCTGTACACTTTGTAGCCTGTACATGTGAGCTGGGGTCATATTGGATGTCTCCTCGGACCCTCGTGCGGTGTGTCATTTCCTTCACACCCTGAGCTGTATTGTACCACGTCAAGCTGCAGAATTGATGAAGGCAGCGTGGGGAGTTTGAGGCAAAAGCTGTGCGCTCGGGGCTCCATTAGAACCATTGCGTGCTGACCAGGATCCAAGCATGCAATTGTCACTATCCCAATTCAGCTCCGCCAAAACTCCACCAACATTCGTGTCGTCTCCGTGGCGAGATCTCCTCTCTCAAAGAATAATGTTCACAAAAGGTGTGCATTTTGCGAAGCTTTTGATGCTTTGTGAGTAATATTGCACGAAATGACCAACGTCTGTGAATATTATGCAACTTTGCATTGCCACATTCAAAGTTCGAGAAAAGAGAAAAATCCCTGCTAGATCTCGCGACGATATGGTCCCCGATTGCGCCATTCGATCTAAAGCCGTTAACAGTTTAGTTCCGCTTTCTAAGCGGGAGACGTTATTCCCGTTGCGGGATAGTGGAGTTGAAACCGCAGAAGCTTTGATGATAAACTGAGATCATCATTGGATTAGAAATGGTCAATGAACTCATCCCTTCGAGATACGGAGGAAAGCGAGCGTGAAAGATGTTGTGAATTGCCATATTTGTTGTGTAGCGTATCTATATCCATTGCTTACAGTGGGTGAGGGCACAGGTCAAGATCCTACAGGGACCTTCGGGGAGTTGGATAGGTAGCTCAGCTACCCCTGTCTTGGAAGTTTATGTCGCCGTTACCGGCTCGAGGGCTTTTTGTTCCATGCATGCTTCCATTCTCGGGGAGATAAACTGTTAGGTTCTCAAGCTTTTCGTTCTTGTATTACGTCTTTTCGGTACCCTTCAGAAGGAGTAATTCTACATCAAAATTATTGCCCTGGAAGAAGAAATTTTCGCTGTTCAATCTCTTCAATGACCCAATATTCATCATGATGGCCTCATCGGCCCATACCCCAACTCCCCGTAACGCTTCGGCCCCACTCCCCATTGCTACCGGTGCTAACGTCCCTGGCGTTACGGGACCTTGAATAACCTTCATCAGGCTCGATATCACATGGCGAATGCCGGTATTGCAACAGAACAGAGCCCACAATAAAGCAACAAATATCTCATCTCCGAACTTTAACTTGAAAGTCCAGAGCCTTGAAGGTAGTCCCCGTTGGCAGTCCCGAACTGCTTCTAGTGAGACTATTGCTCAACCATCACTACACCCATGCTCTACGGCTGAGGATTCAAGAGGGGTCCCTATTTTCGGGGAGTCCAGTTACAAGTACACAACCTCGTTTGTGTGTTCGCCCATTCGTCAATTTCCATCGCCCCCGGTCCAGCGTCCAACCCTTGCTGTCTCTCAAAGTAAATGCGCACCGAGACAACTTAGTTTCCCAAGGCTGCGGTTGCGCGGTCACACATCAGGTCTAGACTCGAATAAACTACAGCTACTGTGAGTCAAAGAGGCTCTAGATTGACAGCTTGACCGTGATACATGTTGCCGATCTTCCGAGTCGTGGGTGAAGCTGTCAGTTGTCGATCCATAGCTTCAAGTTGCAAGTCGACACACTGGCATGGTGCAATATGGCAAGTCCGAAATCTTATCTGACGCAATAGACCCTTCCATATTGCTCATATTAGTGCGTCGCATGTGTCTTTTCTCATTTCGAGGTAACACGGATCTCCAATCTGGGCCGATCGTGGCCGCGTATTAGCTTGCTTGCCTCGCTGCAACATGAACCATTGTAACACTCTCCGCGTAAGACTCTCGGGCCATCGCTGGGTCGTCGGGCGTTGCCCGTCTTTCTCCTTACGAGATCGAAACAGATTTGACCGCGGTCACCGGCTAAGTCTGCTGTTTCAGCTCAAAAATGGCCCCTTCTGTCCCCCACCCACGCAGGCACGCGAGCTGGGAGTAACCTCGTTGACAGTCTCCCCCTTTGTCACTGCTGCATGTCTCATTGGACCCAACAAGAATCCATGCTCCGGGCCATCGGGGCTCGCCCGACGGTCCAGCTTGACTTTGGACGAATGACATGATCAAGAAGCCAATGTACAGCCAAGGCCTCACCTCATCCCTCCCGCTTGGGATCACAAGCCTTCCGGCTTGGTCCCCCACGAAAAGCGACGCCTCCCGGCACAAAATCCGTCAATCCATCCATCTTACTGTCTTGGCCATCTCGATAGCAATTTACCTTGGCGAACGTGGTGATTGAGCTAATGTAGATGAGGTTCAGGGGATTGCTATTGCAAGGCTGTCGACTTCGGTCCTTCCGTTCCTTCGATGATCGAATTCGCCCATGCGTTGACGAATTTGCGACAGTTTCAGGGTGCTGCACATCGCACTTTGCGATCCAGGTCCCATGGCGAATATTTCTAGATCTTGCGCGCCATCAGGTAAGCTTATCCAGCACTGTTTCTGCGTCCTAATCAATCTCGCCGCGGTTGGTGGGAGGAAAAATCCAGATCTACCCTTGTCGTCCAGTTGAATGGTGGCGGTCTAGTGTCGGGGAGTGTGCATTTGGTTCCGTCTTAGCTCGGTGTGTTTTTGAGCGAGGTACGGAGTACGGTAGAATTCACTCTCGTTGTACACGGTACTTGATCCCCTGCCAAGCGACGCCCACGTCTTCCTCTAGCGCAGCCGTTGCTTCTCCCGGGAATGCATCCTTCAAGCGGCACCATCAAATGCACGCGAGCACATCCCGTTGTTCTGGGAGCTTGGCAATGCACCTATTCGGCAATACGGCACACAACCCTGCCAGCGACTGCAAGGTTATCAAGACATAGTCGAGTTTATACGTGGGATTTGCTTTTCCAACTCCAATTCGGACGTAATTGGGTTCAATCGTGGTTGGTCGTGGGCTTGCGAGATTCGTTCTCTGATTGATTCGTCAAGGTTCTAATTGGGCACGACATTGTGAGCTAAACCTCCACCTGCCACTATTGGTTATCGTCCGTGGAATCGAGACAGGTTATCGATCGAAGGTGGCAAGCCATTAGACATCTCATCTCGATAGTCAATTGCGACGAAAGCCACGGCGATGGTGAAAGACGGTCAGGCGAGTCTTTTCGATTTGCCGCGACAATGTTTATTACGTCGATAGATGACAGATCGATGTGATCGTCAGTACGAATATCGGTCAGCTACTGGAGGTACCGTATGCTATGGGGCAACTGATCAACAATCTGGACAATCTAGATGTTCCCATGTCAGCAGAGTTCATTATGCTTAATTGCGTCGACCCACATACCACGTCCCTAGTGACATTCGGTATTCGTCCATCCTGGTCATCTTGTCGTGCCCCGAAGTTGCGTTTCCGTGGGTAGATGTTGCTGTCGTGGGTCGACAGTCTCGCAATGTTGGTGTGAGGTTGGAAGAGAAATTTTCTCTCACGCGGCTCAAGTCGCGTCCAAATTCAGGACCGTCATTTGTCCGTGACTGTATTTCGGGGAGTTCGCGGGGAGTCGAGACTGCCGAGCCTCTCTCGGGGAGTTGGTGATGGGTGGAGACCAGAGAATTCTTGATCTGGCCAAGGTGACCGGTCACCAGAAATTGAGACAACCGAATGGACAGCGCGCCAAGAGTGACAATAACACTTGGAGCCATTCTCAAGCTCGAGTCCGATTAGTGATTGACGAGATTTTGGTGGCAGATCAGCTGGTGGCGATCGGGTTGACCATCGAGCCAAAGAGGTGATTTCGGTGTGAATATCCATTGATAAACGGGTAAAGACAAATCACAAGGCCGTTTGTAGGCAGTTTGCGTTATCTTCTAGACAATTGACGAGATTCTTAGTACAATCGTGATGTTTTCGCGCTTTCTTCCCGTGTTGTCTCATCACAAGTTTGCATCGCCATATTTCAACAAAGTAATGGAATGAGGAATGATCGCAATGACGTGAACAACGTCGGGTCAGCTATTCGTTATAAATATACTAAAGCACATTCAATCTGCACAAAGCCCAATAGAGGCAGGTTAGTAAGGATATTGGAAAGTATCTGTGAACTTTTCTTGGTGTTGACCCCACAGCAGATAGAACACTGTAGGGTAACTCGCTTATAATGGTTGTGAGTTGTAAAGATCCTATCGCATCCCATCACGTTTTGACCTTTTCTCTTTTCATTCAGTGTTTAAAACAAATGCAATTATCTCGATGCTTCCTTGCGTATATGTTCCTGGTCGACATTCATGAATGACCCTTGATTATCCCATGTCTGGTTCAAACCGTGAAACCAGATGTGAATTTACCAACACAATGACTTCAGTTGCCTACCTTTTTGCTGACATATCTTACTTTCGATTTATCGGTTCTTTCACTTCTCCTTAATTAAGTTCACACATGACCCTGCAGTGGGATTATTGGAGTAGACCACTTGATATGTGAAGATCAGCTTCGGCCGCATCCCTGACCTGGAACAACATATCTTGACTTCAATAGAGCTTCAATGACTGAGACATTTATGGTCATGGTCAATAGCAAGTCGAAGCTAGATGTGACTCTTTTGACTGTATTTAACATGTGTCATGCTACGCCTGTTATTTGCGTTCAGATAATCCAAGTCACATCGCAATATATCAACCACCCGAAATCGGAGTGAAGAAGAACCAAGACCTCTTGATATTTAAGCTTTTACACTGAATTAGAATACATTTTCGCGACTTTAATGACAGGGAAGTGATCCCCAGTGACTCATCTTCCTGCCAAAAGGCGTCACCATCGCGATCCTTCCGGATAACCGACATTTACCCATATGTGACAATGATTCATCCATGTATCTCATTTATTTTTCTCGATGCCATTTCTCAGTCTGTCGAGTTTAACAACATCCGAGGAGCTTAAAAGATATCGAAATGGCGGATTTTGTAAAGGTCTACACCACCGTGCCAAAGCAGCTCTTGGCGCTTTTGACTAATCAACTGCCCTACTCGCTACCCCTCCTTCGACGTCTTCAGTTTACCAAGTTTGAAAATGGCCTACGAGAGACAGCAAGAGTCATACTGGCAGCGGAATCTCAACTTGAGGATGGACTAAACTTTCCGAAGAAATTCACTGCAGCATACATCGACGTCGGCGGTGGCCCTGATACGCAAACGTGGATATACTCGACTCTCGAGCATCCCGATAATGCCGACATCAACGACGCGACCATCTATGAGAAGCAACTTGACAAAGTAGTTGGAGAGAGCGTGAGGATATCAAAGGAGTATGGCCGTCCCCTCGTATACGGCGATGCTGTCTTACTCGGAACACTGCATGACTCTGTCCGAGATCTACTCTGCAAGACAGGTCGCGTTGAGCCTCGTGAAACAGGGGCATATGACAAATGGCTTTTCAAGTACGAAGATATACCAAAGGAGGAAATAGCATTACCTGAGGGGATGCATTGGGGAACGGCAACTGACGATGATTGCCGAGTTGTCATCTCCCGAACAAACATCCCGAGAACAGTGTGAGTCTGATTTTAGCAGGCTGGAATACTGGCTGATTCCATATAGGCAAGTCCTGAGACGTATGCCAAGCTTGGTAATCAAGCTTGATGACGGAACGCCTGTGTCCTGGGCTTTTCTGGGTAAGTTCCCTCGAGCCTAAATCTTGCGGCTCAACTCTGATTTGACTTAGGGTTTGATGGCTCACTGATCAGCCTTCATTGTGAGGTACGTATCATACGGCTTCAAGACACGATATGAAGCTGATTATGAGTTAGGAACCCTATCGTCGTCGTGGGCTTGCCAAGACACTTGCTGCGAAGTTGTTTCGCGACAAATCTCTTGACTTTGCCAATGATGGCTGGTGTTCTGCTGATGTTGCGCCAGACAATGATGGAAGTCGAGGAATGTGCAAGAGATTGAATGGAAAGCCGACCTGGAGGGTTTCATGGTAAGTATTCGTGACATTGTCGTGGGATTTGTGAGCTGATTATCTTAGGGTGTTGCTGTATGTCGGAGAAAAGCCGCCAAGTGAAACAAATGGTACCAAGAACGCATGATGGGTTTTGAGAGCTCTAGAACGAGCTAAATGTTTCTCTGGTCGACTTTTATGCTCATGAACGACGGGTTTAGTGCCCAGGAACTGGAGTTTCATTGAAAACAGCTTGTACAGACATTGCAAAGACACGGCTAAGAAAGAGTACAAAGTATAGAGAGAACATAGAATGAGGCCAGCATCCCAATCGAGAGTTTCACATTCTGGCTGAATTAGTCATGCTACCACGCTATAATGCATGTTACTGAATCATCATTCACCCCGGAATGCGCTCAGTCTTCTATGAGACGTATCGGTGATTATAGGATGCACGCAGGGTTCACTGGAGGAACTTTTCCGCAACACACGATCATAGCGAAGACCCGCAATCGCGTAAAACATCCATTGTTGATCTCGGATATTTTAAGATGATCGATCCGTTATCTTGGTCGACTATTCCGGCTAAACATATTGCATGGCAGTTGTCAGCCTCAAATCCTGAATTACTTTAAATTCAATCAAGATGCAACCAATTTGTATCATGTATAAATATATCTGGGTCAGATCGACTGTAATTGACGTATGGAGTTGTTTTCGGGTATTTTGACTTTCGAGAATAGCCTGATATGGGGTATTATCCGTGAAACGTGAAACTCGGGCCACATGGTTCTAGCTTATGCCAAGTTTCAGGTTGAGGATGCTGCCGTTTACCGATGATGGTTACAAGATACGGCTGTTACCTTGTTTCAATTGAAATTAGTTGTGGAACGTGAGGTTAAAAGAGTGGATTTGAGTCGCAATAGTTGCCGTGGATTCATTGGCAGAGACCATATTCTATCTCACCTCAGTAGACAATATCCAGTGCTGTGACTTCTAGATGCCAAGATTCAATATATCTTAGTCAAAGCTTATCTCATAATCCATTAATACCTATCCGATCCTCGGTAAAAATACCATTTGTGGATCTGAAACTTGGAACATCACGAGGCTGAGTAGAAAGCATGAATACTCGTTTGGCATCTAGATCTAATCGACCCACCATCAGCTCAACGCATTGAAATCACCATCTGCCGAAAACATCAAAACAATCATTCAATGGACGGAAAATTCTAGACTTGTTCCTCCTTCATTAAACGTCAAATCATTGTCCGATCGGGAAAACGGGCCGGCTCCACAAGTTGTTTCAGACCAAGCAACACCACATGTTTATTCGAAACAATAGTACGAACCGATATAACAAGGGTCTTTTTTCTATATGTATACCAACAAATTCGCAGCAATGCCCGAGAGAACTATCCTTCAACTCAACACTCGTTTTCTATTCTAACACACTCTTTTTTCTCTTCAAATCATTCATCATGGTTCACTTCACTTCCGTCTTCGCTGGGCTGTCGCTCGTAGCTGGTTCTCTTGCCGCACCCTCCAAAGAAGGTCTCTTCTCCAAGATTACCAAGCGGGCTGGTACTCCTAACAGTTCCGGTACTAACAACGGGTTCTACTACTCCTGGGTGTGTATAACCAACATGATCCTCTGGAGCAATGGCTGACCTCATGCAGTGGAGTGATGGCGGTGCCGATGCCACTTACACCAACGGAGAGGGAGGTTCTTACACTATGGAGTGGAAGGATGGCGGTAACGTCGTCGGTGGTAAGGGTTGGTCTCCTGGAAAGGCCCGGTAAGTCCACTATGAACTTATACATGGCCCTCTACTAATTCCTGGTAGAACCATCTCGTACGAGGGAGAGTACAAGCCCAACGGCAACAGCTACCTCTCCGTCTACGGTTGGACCCGAAACCCTCTCGTAGAGTACTACATCGTCGAGTCCTTCGGTACCTACAACCCCTCCAGTGGTGCTACCAAGAAGGGTACCGTTGAGGCTGATGGCAGCACCTACGACATCTTCGAGACTACTCGCACTAACGCCCCTTCAATCGACGGTACTCAGACCTTCCAGCAGTACTGGTCTGTTCGCCAACAGCACCGCTCCACCGGTAGCGTCGACACTGGTCTTCATTTCGATGCCTGGGAGAAGGCTGGCATGAAGCTCGGTACTCACGACTACCAGATTCTCGCTACTGAGGGTTACTTCAGCAGCGGATCTTCTCACATGACTGTCTCCGAGGGTGCTTCTTCTGGTGGCGGTGCCGGCGGCTCTACTGGTGATGACGCTTCCCAGGGCGGTGATGCTTCTCAGGGCGGAAATGGTCAGCAAGGTGGCAACGGAAACTCTTTCCAGCAACCCGGCAGTGAGAACCAACCCCAGCAGCAAGAGATTAACACTGGCGCTAACGAGCCCTGCCAATAAGTCTAAGCTAAACCGTCCAAGCAAGAGCCTGGTGCCACTGTAAGCATTGTCCATTCACAACTCACTCGACTCGGATACTAACTTCAGCAGTGCGTTTCTATTTACGGACAATGTGGTGGCCAGAGCTGGACTGAAGCCGCCTGATGTCATCGGAGCTGTAAGGGTGCCAGTGGTACTTCCAGAGCTTCAACGACACCATCATGGGTGATTTGGAGTTAGAGTCGGAGAGACCGTATTCTTTCATACTCATCGCTTCTCGCCCTTTAGTAGAGAAGTGGTGGCGTGTATATACTTGATGTATAAAATTTCTTGCTTGAATATCTCCGCAGATTTTCAAGTGACACTTGATCTATGATACTTAATCGTGTTCAAAGTGCACCTAGAACCATGTGGTAGTTTTGCTTATCGCCACTGCAGTGCCGCTATCAGCCCGAGTCACAACTCCTTAACCATTTGTCGGGTTATCAGAGGACTTAAGACTCTAGAATTAGGCGGCGAAAATAAACTAGTCAAAGAGTCTACTAAGATTATTCTAAATTATCCTAAGATATTCTAAATCTACCTAAATGTTTTTATAACTTAAGATCGAAGTCTTAAGTTTTTTGACCATCTCTTAGCCGTTATAAACCTTCTACGTCCATGATTCACTACAGGCTATAGAAATATCATTTCATATCCGGAGGGTGAAAACCATGCTATTCGTCAAACCTCGCCTGGTCCTGAACCCACTGCATTACCTTGTCGTCAGAATCTTGGTTCGAAAGCAACTGGGGACTTCCTGCCACCACTTAGGGCAGTGATGAGTATACAACCCCATTGCATATCAATAATGTCCTTGAAACGAGATGCGCCTTCACTTTGCATTGGTATATGGATAAGTTTGCCTGAATGAACAGGCGATCCCTCACTTGTGGTGAAGAGAGATCATATTCCATGCCTTGTCTGATGCCCCCGGTTCACTCCGATCGCTCAAGTAGTCCATGCGACTGGCAACGCGGCAACTGAGAAAGTATCCTCGTAGGCCACAATTTTCTTTGGCTTGGTTGATATGTGCTTATGTATCATTCCAAGTGAAGGACGCGATGTGATACGCATTCGGACCTGTTGTGCCCGTCACCCCGCAAACATTACCATCACACGTCAGACATTTGGTCTGTTCGGCAAAATCCATATCGTGTTTGCCGACTAGCGGTAGGGAGTTAGTGGCGTCGATATCGGAATCGGTGTCAAAATCAAAATCTGAATCGAATTCAGGCAATGGCTGCACATCGATATCCATGCTGGTACTGGGGCGAGACGTTGTGATTGGACATGCAACAGACGTTGGGCCATGTTTCTCTGGCGCGGTGGACAATTGCGCGATTGATGTACCACTAGAACTGAAGTGCGCCCGGTCTCGTTTGCCTAGATGTCGAAGATCTTGAAAGTTTTAGCTTATTGTCTAAATAGGATACACAACGAAGTTGACTTACAATATTTGCAGAAAGGTGCGGCGCGATCGAGTCCCATCTTCAGGCAGACGGATATCTCATTCGGTGACAGCTTCTCGCCTGACTCAAAAAGAGACAAAGCAACCGTCATGATTATTGCAATGCGTTCAGCGCGGAGGCAGAAGTCTTCTTTCGACCCGCTGTCCCCGAATGGTGGATTGCAAGGATTCCGCAATCTTGATTCTGATACTTTTCCGTCAGGCCTAATCAGATATGAGTTCGCGAAAGGTGTTATGTCTTCTCTAAAGTCTAAAATTATCATCAAATCCCTCGAGATAACACATGCTCTACAATCGAAAACCAGAGTTGAACAAAATTAATTATTAGCACTATGGTAGTTAGAGATTTGGGCGGGATGTCCCGCCCTCCGCCCGAAAACACGGCCCCACCTCAGCCCGGCCTCGTCCGGGCTGTCCTCCGTGGAACGTTTAAACTACTAGGCAACGAACAGCAATGCTTTTTTCGTCGAGAACTTCCCACTTGGTGACATGTGCTGCGAAAATAATTGAGTTTTCTTCTCATCATCATATTCCGTTCGTTTGTAATGGTGAGCGTTAGTGCTCCCTCGAAATGACGAAGGGACGGGAGAGGTATGAAGTCATCAAAATGCAATCCAATTAAACCCATCGATTTCTCGCACTTTACAGCAACTCAACTGTATAAAGCTATCTCAACCCTCGCACATCCCTACGCTATTAATTCAGTGTTAAATATCATGTCTGGCGAAGATGCAACCCGTCGCTTCACAAGAGCGATGCACCAGGTCTATGGCGACTTTGACAAAGACGCTGATACTTGGACCCCTCCCGATAACCCGGGCGCTGGCGGTCATAAAGGGCGATACCTTTGGACAGATGCTTTCGGAGTCGTCAACTTCATCACGCTCTATGAAGAGACGACGGACAACAGGTATCTCACTCTGGCCAAGCGCCTTGTTCAGACGGTCCACGATGTCTTGGGCCGCACGAGGGACGGAATATCTCGTCTACCGGGCGCAACCGATGAAGAACCACTGAGAGGTGGCTTGAGAATTGGGAAAGAGCGTGCGACTGGGAGCGATGGAGATGGACAGTACCATCACTATCTGACTCTTTGGATGTTTGCTCTCAATCGTCTTTCCTGGGCTACTCAGGACTCCTCTTTCAACGACTTAGCTATCCAACTCGCCAAATCCATCCATTCAAGGTTCTGCTTCCATTCTGCAGGTGGACTCAAAATGGTCTGGAAGGTCTCCGTGGACATGGACAAGGTCCTCGTTCCCACCGAGGGGCATCTCGACGCCGCGACCGGGTTTGTGGTCTACAGAATGCTCCAAGAGACAGCAGTACAACAGGGTCGGAAGGACCAGCTTCTGAAGCAGGAAATCAGCGACTACGAGAAAGTCATGCAGCAAAGAGGCTCAATGTATCCTAGTGGTGATCCATTAGATCTTGGTATGGGGCTATGGATCTGCCACTTCTATCCTCACGAGGAGTGGTCGCAGACATTTACTCGACAAGCGATGGATCTAGTCGACGACCTCTTTGATGGTAAATCCACGGATATGAGCGGTAAAGCTTCCAAGAGACTGGCTTTCAGAGAGTTTGGCGCCTGTTTGGGAGTCCAGTGCATTGAGCCTGATGAGCCATTGAAGGAACAGGTCAGTACGCTGATCGACTTTTGGGAAGAGCATATCCACCAGCATGATGGAGATGGCTTGAAGCCAATTTCTCAAGTCATGTATGCGGCGTCAATCATCCCTGGAGGTGAGTTCATTTAGAGCGCTGTCTGGGAAAGCCTGTTAACTGTGTCTAGCATTTCGGGGAGGCTTCATTGCTGGTAGCGAGCCATAACAACACGGTTGGCTAGCGCAACATAGTATAGGGCGAGAAAAGTTGTTGGATATTGATGTTGACCAAATTGCTTCTGTAGGGCAGTGAGAGTTACTTCTTCTTTATTGGTAAGGCCTGTTGGATAACTTGTCGAGGCCTTTCCATCTCATGTGGCTATGCGATGATCAGGAGATTATTATCACAGTTTAGCATGATTTCTTTGGGAGTTCTTTTTTTTCGGAAAGTCCTGTATATTAGACTTTACCTCTATCTACCTATCTATCTTGTCTCTCTGGACCAATCCACCTGTGCTTTGTACTCCGCTTCTCACAAATCACCATGCCCTCAAATCCGTACCACTCAATACCCAGTTCGTCAGTCAATCGCAAACAGTGTAGTGAGACAAATGCCCTTTTTTTTTGTTGCGTTTTGTTGTTTTCTGTCCGTGTTATCCCCCAAGAGCGACGTTTCGCTTAGCCAACGCGCGCACAGTCAAGTCATGACCGGTAGTCTGACACAACATCTACTGGTTGTGGTTGTCGTTGCAGGACTCGCAGAGGTTGCCGCCGGTGAACTTGACAATGTTGTTGCAGCCGCAGCTTCAGGTGCACTTAGGGTTGGCCATGTCAACAGGAGTGTCGGTAGTGGTAGGGGCCTTGGCGTCACCGAAAGCGAGCTTGCAGAAGTTGGAGAAAGACATGATGAAAGATGCGGTAGAGGGTTTGGTAGAAGATTGTTGTGTGATGGGTGTTTAGTGTTGAGGTGAGTTTGTGAGTTTGTGAGTTTGTGAAGTTGTGAAGTTGTGAAGTTGTGAAGTTGTGAAGTTGTGAAGTTGTGAAGTTGTGAAGTTGTGAAGTTGTGAAGTTGTGAAGTTGTGAAGTTGTGAAGTTGTGAAGTTGTGAAGTTGTGAAGTTGTGAAGTTGTGAAGTTGTGAAGTTGTGAAGTTGTGAAGTTGTGAAGTTGTGAAGTTGTGAAGTTGTGAAGTTGTGAAGTTGTGAAGTTGTGATAGTTGTTGATCGTGAGTTGAGAGTGAGTTGGGAAGAAGGTTGAGATTGATAGAGATCAGTCTTCAATTTATAGGCAAATCTGGAGAGGTCTGAGTAAACAGATCCTCCTATGTTCTTGGACTGGCAGTTTGGTCACGACACTGGCCTTGTCTATGGCACTGGCAACTCATGTGAACTTCCGGCGCGAAAGTTGTTCTGGCAGTGGGAGTGTTCGCTAGGTGTCCAAGACGTTGCATTCACTTCAAAATTCCAGGCCATTCTTTCCGAATATAGTAATGAACAAATGAAAAGGCAAGAATATGATCATGATTAAAGGCTTATGATTCATGTTCATTCATTGAGGAAGCCTTGACAAAGGTACAGCGAAGGGCAAGTCGAGTGAACAATGTTCCCATCAATTAAATGCGACAGCGTCAGTTCAACTACCCGTTTCCCGCGGATGACCCAAGAGAGCCAAGGTTTTGTTCAGCTCACTCCATTTGACACTGACATCACTTTCGCCCAGTCTCGCCTGAGATGAATCATAGAGACACTCCCGCTACTGACCTAGTATGCCAGTCAATCTCAAACATACCCCAGAATGTACATCAAAGAGAGGCTTTGTAACTAGAGAACAATAACGCTTGATCTAGAGAAGCTTAGACCATTACTGACTCAGCCCAACTAGGCCACTTCAAAGTAACCAGCACCTAGTCTTTCCTATCAAGGTCATTGGGACTATTCGGCCTACTCGATACATTGCTTAACGCGAAGTCAAGAACAAAGAATACTGGCAGATTTTGCTAGGGAGTAAGACGAACAAGATATAGCATAGAGGAGAATGGGAAAGAGGAGACAGCCCTGGTCACGGCGTCTCTGCTGCTTGTCCCAACGGCACGCGAATAATTTTGCACATGGGATTACTATAGTACAATAAAAGCCCCTGAGTCTAATCTGAGGAGGTTGCTTCATATTTTCCTCGGGTGGTCGTTGGCGCTTTAAAAGGCATCACCTCAGTGCTGAAGCTGAAACCGAAGTACAGATAGATGGACTCCTGTACGGCAAATAGAACAGCGCAGATAAAACAACCAATATGAGGTGTCCAAAACGAAACTTACGGTATATACAATAGTGCCCAGGTAAAGTTTAAGCGATAGCCTCCTTCTTCATAAAAGATTCACCAGGTTAGGCACTTCAAGAATAAATATACTACGTAGGGCTCTGTCTTATTTCCAGCTGGGCCTAGCTGTTGTATAATTCTCTTCCTCGTGTCCATAGAGTAGAGATAGATGAATTGTCTCTCCACTTATTGGGTTCTTATGTTGCTTCTCTCGCGCTCAGTCGTATTATGTGTAACTGGCCATGGTCACCATGAATCAACACTCCGTTATCTCTTGAGTACGATTTGAGGACCTTTTGTTATTCTTTGAAGATACCCATACCTCTACTCAGGTTTGCTCAGGGATTTTGTGAGCTATGCAAAGAGATATGCGAAGTGGTTGCCAGTACCATTTCCCCTGAGCTCTTGAACATGGTGATGAATAACAGAGGATATTCAGAACACATAGTCCATCTTCCATCCATACCTTAATTACTCACAAGGCACGAATAAAGCAGTCAAAAAGGGTGGAGCGGGTGGCTGCCAGTGTCAAGGCACTCTTCCTCTTCTGGCCGATGAACCCACAACCAATAATAATTGAGCATGCCTATGCGCCAGTAAAGGGCATATAAGTTGTCGTAACTAACTGGTCTTTCACAAAGGGATCCAGGGCCGAGGATTGTCTCATAGCAAGTGCGGCAGGCTTCGAATCAGACTTGATCACTCATAGAGAGCGAGCGAACCCAAGGCAGGTAGGTCCCAAGCTACACTAGGTAGTACCTTCCCTTGTATCAATGCTACAAAGCAACCGACAGTACAAACTGGGCGAGGAGTGGTCGAGCGGTGCCATGAGAACTAGTGGAGCTTTCCGTGCTCCTGATGCCCAACGGGAACCCTCCTCTCATACCTTTTGGCCTATTTTGTGAGATGGTAGGTCTCCTTTTACTGTACCGAATATACTGGCGATTGTCTCCTCGTGCCCGAGCTCACTTGTAGGCTGATGTTCTCATTTAAGGAGGCTATTAACCGTCAAGGTCCATTTCCCAGCACCCATATAGAATATTACATTAAAATTCTGCTGCGGTTTGAGCTAGGGCTTCCGTTCAGAGGCCATCATTAACCCTTCACTCGTGGTGATTCTGACGAGTGTTGGGATAATGGGGAGAGATGTTGTGGGATCACGGGCAATGCAAGTCTACTACAGAGGTCTTTACGCAACATAAAGAGACTATGTAACACAAATTATTGGAGTCAAAATGCGATCCCCCGTTTGAGCTCACTCATACTGTTCTGCAGCTACCTTAGCTATATCGCAACACTAGACGAATATGTGTGAAGACGACCAAGAGGCTAGCTCCACATTGTAGGAGCTTATGATAACTTATCCTAAGGTTAGAGAATACTAGCCTAAAGCGGGACCATAAGGAGAGCCTAAAACTTGATCTGATGCTAAGGTACCTCTAGGATGCTCACTTGTGAAGGCATCCATGTGTTACAAGGTACTGAAGTCGTGAATACAAAAGCAGGCTCAACACCAGCGAACACTCGCCCATGGCGGATGATAAATCACTTATTGAGCCCTTGAACACCGAGGCTAAATCATCGAGGGAGACTTATTGAACATTCAGTTTGATGGAACAGTCCACCGAGTGAGTCTCTCTTGCTTTGTGTGGAGACCGTGATTGAATCCGACCCCTGGCAAGCCTTCCAACCAGCAATCTTATACTAAAAGGCATGTAAGTCTACAGAATCTATTATCAAGCGCAGTCATTGCATTCATCAAAGTTCACCATGCAATGATATTGAAAGTCTGGGGAAGTTGTCGATGTGCTCGGTCACAATTGGGTACACGATCATCAGCCAACACCTGTTCAATTTCACAATACACTTGTGAGTTTTACAGGGAACATATGCATACGCTGAATATCATCCTGCCATGTTTGTTTCGACGGTATACACTTTGGGGGCTGTCGTTATTGAGCTTCAAAGACCTGAATGGCTCGAATCAGTAAACTCTCACGTGTGATGTGCACGTTTCTTACTTACACCATCACGAGGATTTAGGGAGACCAAGATGCTTAAACAACTTTATTCTGTAACTAGTAATATTGGTGTCCATCAGCAGGCACAGCCTGCAAAAGATGATCTGTCTAGAGAGGGTATTTCATCCAGGTTTGGTATCTAAAGGGGGAATTTTAAACATAAGACATATTCGCAAGACTGCCACAAAGGAAAATCACCATCCAAAAAACAACCGTCATTAAACAAGCAAACCCTCCCATAACATAGAAAAGCACAGGCCGTTATTCCGTCGTCCATCCTCATGCTTCCAATCTCATGTAAAGTATGGTATCATTAAAAGAAACGCAGTGAATCCCCTCTTCCCTTCGCTAGTATCTCGCTTGGTACCATTGTCATAACTGGTGTGATAATAGGTTCGATGGTGTTTAGTCGGTGAAGAACTTGATGACGTTCTGCAGATCGCGCAGGCCGACACCGTGCTTGGGGTAGCAGATGTAAATCTCCTCGCCGAGAGCACCGAACTTGGATCGGAATGATGCCTTGCGACGGAGGCCGAGACTGTCGACGATAGATCGGTAGCTGGCACTAAGGAACTTGGCACGAATACCGCCAACGTGCTCACCCGGGGTAAGCTTCTCGGAAACACCAGCGCCAAAAGTGACCTTTCCGGTAACGTTCTGAAGAGCAAAGCTCACAAGCACCTCAATGGCGCCGTTGACAGCACCAGGGAAGTCCAGAGCCCACTTGACCTGCCAGCCGTGGCGAGGAGCAAGCTTGGCCAATACGACCAGAGACATGACCTTACCGTCCTTCTCGGCAGCAAAGTATCGGCGGTGCTCCTGATCAATCCAGGGGCGGACCTCAGTAAGGTGGACCTGCTTACCCTTGCCCTTACGAGAGCCCTTCCACTCTTCGATGGCGGGGTTAGCACGAGCGATGAAGTCCTCGTCGGGCTTGACCTCGTGAATCTTGACACCTTCGCGCTCAACGCGGCGAGCCTTGGCAGCAAGGCCATCGATCTGAGCGCTGTTGTGCTTATCAGCGTCGACACGCTGCTCCTCAGTGCAAGACAAGCTTCGCCAGCGAAATTCAGAGGCAAGAATCTTCTGGACTTCGTAAGAGACGAGCATCCAGAAAGGTGTCAATCGGAGGTCGACAGTAATGTGGTGGATAAAGTCACGGATGACTTGAGTGTACTGGCTGCGATCGCAGAGAGGGTCGCCAGTAATCATAGCAAACTTCTCACGTTGGACCCAACCAACAGCGGCACCGGTGGAGTGTCGCCAAATTTGGAAACGGTCATCGAGCCAGGAGGTGTTGGTAGCATCACCGTAGTTGGCGATGAGTTTCTCAATAGGGGGAGGTGAGTCGGCATGGTGAGGCTTGGTCGTGTCTGCCTCGGGGTGGGGCAGACCAGGAGCCTTAGTAGGAAGAGACTTGGGGTCACGGTGGAATAGAGATGCGTATCGAACATCGCCAAGCTCGAGCATCCAAGCGACGATACGCTCAAGGCCAAGACCAGCACCAGCGTGGGGAGGAGCACCCAGCTCAAAGGCAGTAAGGTAATCCTCCATACCATCCTCAGCCATGCCAGCGGCAGCCATGTTGGCGCGGAGCTCATCAACATTGTGGATACGTTGACCACCAGAGCAGATCTCTTGGCCTCGAATGAAGATGTCGAAAGATCGAGTCCACTTAGGATCCTCGGGGTCCTTAGCAGTGTAGAAAGGGCGAGCATTGGCAGGGAACTTGTCGAGAACGTAGTAGTCTGTGCCGTACTTCTCGCGCACAAGTTGACCAAGTCTCATTTCGTCTGGAGTAGACAGATCCTCCTCCTCGACGTCACGTCCGTCGTCACGGAGCATCTGGATACCTTCGCTGAAGGGGATGATGGGAGTCTCCTCAAGCCACTTGAACTCACCACTAGGCCATCTCTTGCGAATGACCTCGAGCTCTCGAGAGGCATAAACGGTTCTGAAGACTTCCTTGAGGAACATGTCGATGAATTGAATGACCTCATGATAGTCGTTGTCAATGGCCATCTCAAGATCGAGGCCAGTGTATTCAGTCAAGTGACGGTGAGTGTTAGAGTTCTCGGCACGGAAGACGGGGCCAATTTCGAAAACGCGACCGAAGTCGGCAGAGATGGCCTCCTGCTTGGCGAGCTGAGGACTCTGGGCGAGGAAAGCGCGGCGACCGAAGTAGTTGACAGCGAAGACAGCGGCACCACTTTCAGTGGCGGCAGGCTGAAGCTTTGGGGTATTGATTTCAACAAAGCCTTGCTCTTCGAGGGTGTTTCGGAAGATTCGGGAAACCATTGAGCGCACGCGGAAGAGCGCCTGGTTGGAAGGATGTCGGAGATCGAGGATTCGGGCGTTCATGCGGTTGCGCAGGGTCTCTGGGGGCTTGTAGTTGCTGAAGGGGAGGTTCTGTGCGGGGTTGACGAGGTGAACAGACTCGACGTCAACCTCAACAGTAGAGTGTGTGGCCGATCGAATAGGCTCGGGAGGGCTCTTGAGGGTACCAGTGATCTGGACAAGAGATTCGGGGTTGATCTTTCGGACCCATGTGATAAAGTCGGCATTACTGGCATCACGGGCGAGAACACCCTGAACGGAGTGTGTCTGGTCGCGGAGGAGGAGGAAGTCAAGAACCTTTGAAATAGGTCGCTGGGTCTCGATACGGGCTCGGAAGGTGACTTCGGTGCCAATGGGCAGAGTATCGAGCTGTGCAATTGTGTTGATCTCACCAGGGTGAACAGGCCAGTCAGAGCTCATGCTTGTTCGACCGCTGTCGAGAGAAGTGCGACTGCTGGGAACAACAGCGCCGTTGGTGGTGGTGGTTGTGCCATCCATACTAGATCGAGCAGAATTGCGTAGTTCAACGGCGCTGTCGCGCATCGTTTCGCGAATAGTTCTAGATGGAGACGCGGAACGAGGCGACGAAAAGGCTGAGCTCAAAATAGCAGCTGAAGGTCTTGTGTCAATGCTCAGCACTGCTGAAGCAGGCCGGCTGGTCTCCGGGCTCGCCATATCGAGCGACGTCGGTGATGATGTCAGAGTTGTGGCTTTGGTTTGTGAAAGGACCGAGTCTATGGAGACAGCAGATAGTGGGGGCGATGACAGGGCCTGCACTGGGGTTGGAGTAAAGGAAGTGATTAAAGGCGAAGGAGTTTTAGGTGAAGAGAGAGAAGAGGAAGAAAAGATAGAAGCAGAAGGTGAAGGGGGAGTTGAAGAATTTGTGGTGGCCGAGGATCCTTTTAGACGATACTTTGATGGTAGTGGGATGCCAAAGGCTGATGTGACGGGAGCAAGGATGCCCGTCATAGTCAGGTAGCGTAAGGTAGCGCAGGGCCGCGGACGGAGACAGGGCACGGAGGACAGGGATCAGAGGATCGGGGATTTGGGGGTGATTTGATTCTGAATGTGATGACGGGACCTGACCGGGAATGTCTGTCTCGAACTGAAATGGTTGGTTGGCTGGCTGGTCTCAACTGAGTTGGAGGGTGTGGCACGGTGGGTCAGCCACACTTGAAAATCCTTGATATCCTGACTTGGCTTGCTAGGTACTGTTTCCGCAATACTTGCTTGAGTCGATGACGATTGAGTGGGCTGCTTTAGGTTGCTCAGATTCCCTTTTGGTCGTTACTCAGGGACTTGTCTTCGATTTGATCGTGGCTGTGACGAGGGGAGGAGTGGTGTATCAATTACATGTGTGGCTGAAGTGAATAACAGGGTTGAATTCCCAGGTGGTTAATATTTTGTGTATTGGTGTAAATGAGAATGAAACACCAAATAGGAATGTTGGATGTTTATATCAGTTTTAGTTAACAACATGAACTCCGCATCCACGGCACTTTCGGCCTCACGGAAACAAGACCTGCTTACAATGCCGTGAGAAGAAAAGAAAAAACTTCTTTGTCAAATTCCTATCGCTTACTCTAGCAACCACCATTTCGGGCTCGGCCCAGTGCATAAACCCGCGGCGTGGAGGTTCAACATAACAGATGACTCGGCATTGCGATGTAACTCGTTCCGCGCGTGAGGGTACCGAGAAATTTACGGGTAGATCCAATTGCATTACTGGTCAGTCAGTACGGGTTTTAGCTTCGGGTCTAGCACTAGCATCCTACTGTAGCAGCTAACAGCCCTAGGATATGGAGCATCGCTGATTCAAGCATGGCACGCTATGAGTAACGGGCCCGGTAGTGGCATGTGGATGTGGATGTAAGAGCCTCCAAGGGCGAAAAGTCCGAGTATTGATTCCGTCATGACTTTTTGATGTCTCTCAGAAATGTCTTTCAGAATGTCTCCAAAGCTTGTACAGAGCTTTGCTGAAGGGTTATGTGTCAAGTTGATCAATTACACTCAGCCACGAATACAGTACCACGTCAAAGAAGACGCCACAGACACATATCCAAAGCCAAGGCCTTATTGCCGTCAGACGTTCAGGTCCCAAGCTTGGCCTCACCCAGAAGCGCCCAAACAGGCAAGGGATGGCTGCCGTTTGCCGTCTGGGCATCCCTCTACGTACCGTCAGAAGTACCAGATACGTCAACAGGTGATACAAATTTAGACAATGCGTTAATTCCGTGACATCAGCAGGGTCGTTGTAGTTTTTACACAGAGTCAGGGCTCACTTCAGACTCTCCCGCCCCCGGATGCGCGGGGCCGCACGGAGCTGATGATTGGAGTTCGGTGGAGATGCTCCGGAATTGGCTTGATAATGCAGCCAAGACCAATGACATATCTTGAACCCATCGGCGATTGACGACTATCAAACCGTTAATTTTCATGTTTCAAGGTCCTTGTGTCCGTTTATAACCTGTATTTCTGATTATCATTTTCATCCAAAACTCTGTTGTGGCCTATTGAAGGTGAATAGGGTAAAATCAGGGGCTGATGACCAGGTTTGTGTGCAAGTGATTGTCGGTGACTGACCTGACGTCAACTCAGATGAAATGTCAAACGGAATTCGCGGTTGATTACGGTATCGGTAGCCAAATCAAGAGAACATTCTCGTATCTGACGGTTAATTCTAGACTCTCGTCTTTTTCTTTTTCCCTCTAAACAAAGACTCCGCTTGGGCGTTCCGCTCCCGCATTGACCACTAAAATAACCCCAGCTAAGTGGGAGACAATACGTCATAAGCATTAAATCTCAAACTCACGTCACCTAACAACTTTGGTTGGTTCTGACCAGGTTTTACAGTTTTGTGTTGTCTTGTGTTGCTTGCTTATCGCTTAATTCACATTCACAATAATCAATCTCTCAAAATCACCTCAGTCAGTGGGTGATTTGATTACTCACTCGCTGTTTGATAACCTGCTTTCCGACTTCGTAGGCGAGACACGTACTACTACTAATGACGGTCAACAACATCAAACTGCTTACCCCCATCAAACCACAACCCTACCTTAGATGCTTTCAAACCTCACGCACGCACGCACATCAGCAAACTGTCATTCTTTTATTCCTTCTGATCAGCAATTTTGAGCCAATCCTTGCTCTTACTACGACTCCTGCCGCGCTTACAGAGTACGGTTCTGTACCATTATTGTACTGTACTGCATACTGAGTCAACCACGTGTTGCACACAACTCTCCACCGCTTCTCCGTAACAGCCGGGTCTCGTCTTGGCTTGACTTGGGCTTGGATTGTGCTTCCTCACTTTCCAGCCTTTCTTCTCTCTGCCGTCTTTTCCTGACAACCCTTCTCTACCCCTACCATAACCAACCTAGCCCGCTGCAATCTGCAGTCTCACCCCAAAGCCAACATCTCATAGGCTGGTGTCGGTGTTTGCTGGCTGGGACCCCCTCCCCTCTCCCCTCTTCCAGATACTGTACCTAAATTCACATCTGATATGGAGACTGAGTTCACCCCCTCTGAGTCACGACCAACCACCCCGGAACCTCCGGGCTATGTGAATCCTCTCGAGTCCAGCTCTAGATGGTACCTGATCGCTCGTGCCCAAGCCATTCGTTCTGCTGCGAGTCTGGGTTTCAGTATCGCTAACCGTACGGATCCTCCTGCACCCTCACCAACCAAGGACATTTGGCTCGATGCTACCCTGTCAAAGGCTGATCTTAGCCGCGCCGACCGCGCCAAGACAAAGATCAAGGCCGAAGTATGGATGCCGCCCCGTCCCGCTCTCGGTGCCCGGGCTGCCGTTATAAATTTCCACGGAGGTGGATGGATTCTCGGTCAAGGCACCGACGATGCCCGTTGGGCTGGTACTGTCATGGCTAATCTGGACGCCGTTGTCTTTACGGTCAACTATCGTCTCGCGCCATCTTGTCCCTTCCCAACACCCATCGAGGATTGTGTGGATGCAGTTCTTCAAATCAAGCATCGTGCTGCGGAGTTCGGCATAGACCCTGATCGTATCATCCTGTCGGGGTTTTCCGCTGGTGCCACAAATGCCCTGGCAAGCTGGCTCATTCTAAACGACCCTGATCGATGGGGTTACAAGTTCCCCATTGAGCCTCCGAAGATTGCTGGTATCACTCTCTACTATCCCCTTCTGGACTGGACCATCTCGCGTCCGGAAAAACGACTTACATGCTCAAAGCCGGAGTTTACCTTACCCAAGGGTCTAACAGATCTAATCGATGCTTCCTTCATCTACCCAATCATTCCTCGCGAGGAACGTTACGATCCAAGACTATCCCCGGGTTTGATGCCGGATGAGTTGCTAAAGAAGCTTCCCCCCATCCACTTGGTCTTGTGCGAATATGACATGCTCCTCGCTGAAGGCCTCAAGTTCTCAAATCGTCTCAAGGCTGCTAACAAGCAGTTCACATTACGTATAGTCGAAGGGGAGAAACACGCATGGGATTGTCCACCACCCATGTCACCAAAAGAGAGTGTTGCCATTGAGTATCAAGAAGCCGTGGAGACTATGGCCAGTTGGTTTGGGCAGAAGTGCGAGACCGACACTGAATCCATGCGATCAATGAGACTGAAACGGCCGGTTCTCAAGCGGCCCAAATACCTCTCCTTCAAAACCTGGTCCGGGAGGTAGTTGTCCCTAGCAGGGTTCTTGATTCTCGTGGGTTCGATGTTATTACTTCACTTCGTCGTTTCCTTTTCCTTTCCACCTAGCGCGGCGCATAATGCGATTAATGAGACAAGACTTGGCAACACATGAGAGGCAGGGCATTGGATTGGACATAATTGGTTTGAGCGAAAATAAAATGCATATATTACAGACATAAATAAGACAGATTTCCCGAGATATTGGTCCAGGAACGGGTGGCAGTGCAAGAATAAGCATCAGGCAGGGTCTTGGGTCTGGTGAAGATCATGATCCAGCCACAACCAAGCGTGTAAGCCAACTCAATTCAAGACAAGCATTCCCAGCCCTGTCGAAAAGTGACAACCTTCGGCATTTGCTGCTTTCAGTGATTTCCACCCCAGGTGTAAATCAAAACTGGGAACCAGGTACTTCGAACAACGCAAAAGATACTTGATAATAGCATCTGGCTTAAGGGTCCATTCTCCGGAAGCGCCGGAGATGCCAACATTGGCCAGGTCGTAAACATGTGGCATTTCCACAAGCTCCCGCCAATTGGTTCATACACTTTTACACATGAACTTCATCATTGTGAAAACATGCATCAAGGGACTCTCAGCTTAGACTAGTAGACTAGCTTCGCCTGACAAACATTGTGCGGGGATCTTTGGTCAGCTGCTTATCTCTGCGTCTATATGCACGAATAGTGCGATACATTTTGTGTTGTAGACTGAGCTTGTGACTGAGAGTGAAAAAAACTGAAACTCATTCGTCGGGGTTTTGTCAATATACCGAGATGCTTTCGCTGTCCGGAGGGCCCGAAGATCCCGGGGGGATATGTCGGCCTCCGGCATCGCCTTATACCCATGACAGAATTATCAGGCGAGCATTTCAAGTTCAAATAGATCATAAAATCACGGTATGTTCACCTTTTCAATCAGAATGCCAAGATTTAAAAAATTGTCATCAATCAACTAGCCAAAATAAGCAGCATCCACCGCCGTCTCACTCAGCTCCATCATCGTAAGCTTCATATTCTTAAACGCCCGTCGCCACACTTTACTAGACCTCAAGATCGGCTTTTTATGACTTTCCCATGCCGTCAAATAGACATAGTGTTCGGCCGTAGGGTGGCGTGGTCGGCTCCGAGGTGCCGATGTGGCTAAAGCGAACTGGTATGTGATCATGGCGATCTCTTGATAGTCATGACACAAAGTGTCAGCCATTCCGTGATGATCTGTGGCGGTTTTGAAAATCTGAGGCGGCTTGACGATGAAGCTTGAAGTTATGTTTGTTCATTGCCAAGACTCAGTCGAAAGATTCGGAACGAGTCATGATTGATGTGAAGAGTTGACCATGAACAGAGTATGTTGCTGCCACGAGCGTTACAAGTCAATACTGAATGTGACTGAGTGTTATATCGAGCTTAAGGAAGATTCAAGCTATTCGAGATTCTAGGATAACACTGCCAATTAGGCTCTACGTATCGTGCACCCATGAACTGGCCAGTCCACGTTGGAGGTTCAGGGTAGGCATCATCAGAACAACAGTAAGAGATCAAAAGGATGGTCATGCACATGTATATTCGTTTTCGTTATCGTAATCTGGGACTGCAGCTATTACTATCGCAATCTGCCAGATATATTCTGTAGGATAGCTTCTCGATGCTGAAAGCATTCTCCTCAATCAAGCCGTTTTCTCCAACACGTGACATATGGTCACCAGCTCTGCCCACGTCGCAGGCTGATACGCTAACATTTCTCATATATCATGAATCGCTTTACCACTTGGCCTCCTTGCTGTTGATGAACTCCTTGAGGATAGCAACAATCTTGGAGAAGGAAGCGAGGTAAGCCTGGAGATCGGCCTGGACCTTCTCGGGGTTATCACCGAGCTTGGCATAGAAGTCCTTTCGGTAGGGAACGGCGGACATGGCAGCGCTGAAGATGGGCTTGACCATGAAGCTGTGATGGGGCTTCAGGGTGTTGCCGTATGCGTCGCGGAACGAGTCGGCAAGCTCTACGGTGGGGTTTTGGACGTTGTGCTCGAGGCCTTGCTTGGTGAAGTCAAGACCACTGGAGTTGTTAGCTGATGAGATGTATGTTCGGGGCGGGTTGTTCGTACCGGATGAGCCAGAGGCAGCCCTCGGTGGCAGTGTGCTTGCCAGTCTTGAGCTCATTGCGGACAAGGTCCTGGACGGTAGCGGACTCGGCGGGAGCAGCGGCGTGGCGAGCACGGAGCTTCTGTAGGTAGTTGTCAGATTTATTCGAAGGGAGATGGTACACATCGCAGATGCTGTCCATGACGAACCTCGACGTTGCCAAGGATATCCTTCTTGACGGGGCCGAAAGCAACACCACCAATGGCATCTGTAGGCGCGGTTAGTGATTGGCTTCTTAGCAGCACTCTGAGACATTGCCGTACCAAAGATGGTGGTCAGAGACTCAGAAGCCTCGAGGAACTCAACGGTAGAGACAGCATTGCCGTTGGCCTCATCGACAGGGACGTCGGCGAAGGTTCGCTTGAGCGACTGGACGATGGTACCACCGGGAGGATAGACAGCAGACATGATGATTGATGATGGAGAAGTGAATGAAGAAGAGAATGAGAAATTGTTTGATGGGAAGAGGAAAGTTAAAAATGATGAGGTGTCGTTGAACTTTGAAGCGGTCAAGCTGAGCTGTCCCTTTGCGGGTAGGTTTAGACAGGGAGCAATACAGGAGGGGTCTAGCTCAGGGGACCTAGTGAGGGGCTCGAGACGGTGAAGGAGGGGCAGACGTACAGTGTAGATAGATAAGATAAAGCTGATGCATGCAGCTGAAGCAGTAGATATAAGAGCCTACCATGATTCAGAGGCACCTCTGAAGGGAATAATGAGTTGGAGATATTAATAGGACTCATACAGAGTCCTCAGAAAGCCATTGACTGCTCCTCTCTGACGGTAATAACAAGGCCTGCATCGTAAAGTCAAGTGGAAATACTCACACTCTACACTGTGTTTCGGGGCTCGATTTAGTTGTTCCGTCGAGACCGCCTCAAACCCCACATTCTCCCACGTTGATCAGGGCGGAGAACATAGACGAGAGGCTCAATCTATAGTACGACATGGTAAGACCCTCAGTCGAGACTATGAAAGAAATGGCTCTATGAAGAGTAGTATTTGATACCAATTGTGCACTATAAATATGAAGGTCTGCGTTGAAATGGAATGTCATTGAACTACGGACACCTAAGGGCCTTTATGTGGTGTTATGTTAGCTGACGACGCTCAAGGCGGGGCCATATCATGACAGATCAGGCATGGGTGTTATCATGAACAGAGCAATAGTCATTCAAATCATTATACGTTATCATTAAACTATCAATCATCCAATTACGTGTAAATAGACTCAGTCACAGAATTGACTTGCAATCCCCATTCCGTCATCTCAGCATCCTCAAGGAACCGCAAGGGGAACCAAACCAAATGACCCTTGATTTGACTCAATTTCTCTCTGGCATCTTCAGGAGGCATGAACTGGTCGAAGATGTGGCCAGCTATGACGCCGCGTGGAGGAAGATACCGATCATAATCGTCGAAAGTCCTGATGTGGTCATCAGGATCGGCGTGGAACAAGTGGCGGAACAAGTCGGTGTTCTTGTCTGCTTGGCTCGTCCACTTCTCCCAGAGTTCGTCGCTGAGAGGATCTTCAACAAACTTGTAGCTTTCATCTTGGTCGTAGATGTCATTGTTGGGGTTGACGCTTGGGGGCATGGCGTTGATGTCCTGAGAAGCATCGTGGGGTTGGGGGGGCAAGAGACCCATGTGTTCACGCCAGAGGTATCGACGGAGGGTTGCTGCGTGATAACCTGCCTCGTAGGGTTTGCCGTCCATGGTGCTGGGGATGAGACGTGTGTCTTCCATGACAACACTGAGTTCACTGTCGTGATCACCCAGTTGACTGCGATCGTTGAGGTTACTGCTTCCGCAGACGGCAATTCTGTCATCGACCAGCAGCAACTTGCCGTGGATGTAAAGCTCCTCCTGAATCCAGTTCTTGATCTCCGACTCAGGATCCTCCTCAAACCAAGGCTCGCCCTTTAGTCCTTCGCCAGTACCCGCCATAGCATGGTGCGCAACAGAGGAAGTTGTGTGAACTACCTCCTTCGGCATGGCAGCCTCAAACTTCTTCCGTGCCTCCATGGTCTTCTTGATATCCTCATCAAGGTCCTTCTGCTTCTTATCACCACGCATGTGTTCATCACCCTCACTATCCTCAGGATCATATGAACCATGAATACCCTCACCCATGATCTCCTCAGCTTCTGCACGCTGCACCTGTTGGTAGCTGATACCAGTCTCCTTCTCCGCCTTGATAATTCCAGGCGTCTTGTTAAGACGATCATATGATCGCAAGTTGAAGAAGAAAATGTACTTCTCAGGGTCTACACCCTCAGCGCGGCATTGTCCGAAAATGGAGTGCTCGCCCCGACAAATGGACTTGTACTGGTAATCCATGATAGCTCGCGTGCCCGTAGCAGCTTGCTCTCTGAGATCTCCAGCAAATCCAGGAATAGCAGGGATGAGAACGATGACGCGGAATTTGCGACCTTCTTTTGCGGCCCTCACAACGGCATCAACTATCGCACGTCCAATGGTATTCTTAATCGGAGCCTGCTGATCGCCTGTAGCAGTGATGAAGAACTGATTCTCGATGTAAACGTAGTGCTGAGCCTTGGAGATGATCTCAATATAGGCGTTCTGAATGGAGTGGTCGGTCAAGATACCGCTGCTCCAGTCGGCGCTTGATCGGACAAGCTGGCAGTTGACTGTGCCTCTGTTTTCAAGGTTTTTAGTGCTCAGGGGGGTGTAAGGGTGCTTGACGTATTCTCCGACAGGGTGTTTCGGGCGTTGGACGCCAATGAGGTCCTCATCTTCATTTTCCCTCTTTTCCAACACCAACCAGTCGAATCTTTCATCTCTTTTATATTTATCGCGCTTGACGAAATTCCATCTTAACACGAAATGCTCCGCTACATCAAAAACGGTAGGACCTAAGATTAGGTTAGAAACTGATGTTTGTTGTCTTGAGGTTAGGTGTCTGATGCCAACCCACCTTGAATACACATTGCAACATCGTGCCATGGCATACGACCGTAGTCCGCTTTGCTCAACTCGTTATCTTG